GGCAGATCCAGGAACACCGCGTTGGCCTTGGGCGAGGTCCCCGTCTCCGCGTCCCCGACGAGGAACCCGTCCTGGTAGACGTCCCGGTGCGTGACGTGCACCAACCCGTCCAAGCCGTGTTCCTTGAGCTCTTGCCGGACCTTGCCGACGCGCTGTTCGTGGAATTCGAAACTGGAGACTTGGCCGAGGCGTTTCTTGTTGGGTAGTGAGGTGGAGGAGGAGGAGGATGAGGATGAGGGGGGTGGTGTCGTGTCGTCTGTTGTTGTGGTTGTGGGGTATCCGTTGAAGACCGCTCGGACGGCCGCGTGCGTGAACGAGCCGCTGCCCGCGCCGGCCTCGATGATCGAGCTGCCCGGCCGTGCGCGCAGCCGGTGCAGGATGTAGCTGTAGTCCGGGGTGTAGACGACCTGGGTGCGGTGCGGCAGGGACATGGTCCACAGCTCCGGGGTCGGGTAGACGAGGTGCAGGAATCCACTGGCCGCGGCGACGGCGGCCTGCGGCGAGCCGGATGGGCTGTCGTTGGCCCCCTCCGCCGAGTCATTGGTGGTGAGCACGTCCGCTTTGCGCTTCAGCTGCCGGTTCTTCTTCTGCGGGCCGCGGCCGCGGCGCGAGCCCGTGTCGACCTTCGAGGCGATGATCTGCGAACCCCATGGTTGGCCGGTGAGGGTGGTGTGCGGGAAGGAGCCGAAGCGCGTGGTCGTCACTTTCCCTTCCTTGTAGCCGGCGTTGTCTTCGTCGTGGAGCTGGAGGACGGTCGGGATGGCTTGGTCGCGGCGGAGGTGGAGGAGGGCAAGCTGGTTGAGCTGCGAGTGGGAGCCCGGGGTGAGAAATGGTGAGGCCATTTTCTTTGGGCTGAATTTGTGGGTGACCGCCGAGGAGGAGCGAGGATTGACCTTGGGATGCGATGGAAGTGTCCCCGTCGCCGAATTGAGGGCTTCAAGGCTACTTTCGAGCTTCTTCGACTTCTTCAACTTTCTTTTGCGACGGCGGCGTCACTTGCTGAAGATCCTCCGTTCTATACTCGATTGGGAGATTGGCTTAGGGCTTAGGGCTGTAGGTGTGGAAGGCGGTGAAGGGTGCAGAGGAGACGGCGCTGATTGGTCCCGTTCGTCTGTCAGCTGTTTCTACTCCATCGTCAACAAGTTTCGCTAGGTATCAAGAACGTTCCTATAGTTCAGAGGCTCTGGATAATGGGTTGAATATTTGTTCATATCTTGAAGTCTATGGACTCAGTACTACCTCTTGCTATCTGAATCTCGAGAAATTGCCCCGAAGGGGAGGGGCTGTGATCTCGGAGATTCATATCCATCATCTGATGAACTCGTCCATCACATGCTGCAAACTCCCCCCCGAAAGGGTCGATAACATGCCCATGAATACTGGGGTCAGGAACTAGAAACAACATACCAAGAACGTCCGGGGTCAAGAAGGTCTGGCTTGGCCTGGACTGTTTGTGCTAATCAATTCAAAATTGGTCATGCATCCATGCTCACTGGCCTTTGTTGTCGCCTCTTTCTATTACTGATCATTAACCTCGGGGCGCTGAACCTCGGCAACTTTGCTCTTCCCCACAAGGGGTCTCCAACGTCTTAACGCGGCTTTCCCCAGACTATCCCCAGCTATCCAAGACCGTTAAACTTCGGATCTCCTTAGAAGATAGAGACTTTTGGTTACAGTTCTTACTCGGTGTTTTCTCGCGTCATCTGAACCCATCGCAGCATTTATCCCCTAACACTTTAGCCGGTGGAATCGGTCGGCCGTCAACATGCCTTTCAACACCCTTCTTACCAGGAAACTAGGCATTAAAGGTACGTCCAGAATCAACAGACTGTCTGGCTCACCTGCTGATTATTTCAAGTCCCTGTTGTCCAGGGAGGTATGCAATGGGTTGGATACGCTGAGCTCGCGGCGGCAGTCAGCAACGCAGGCGGTTTGGGAATTGTACGTATCCGCGATCGCCTCAAAATCAGAATACGAAACCAAGAAAAGGCTAACCCATGGAGAACCTACTCAGCTCACTGCCCTCACACAACCCACCCCGGAAGACCTCCGCAAGGAGATCCGCAAATGTCGAGCCATGACCAAGAACCCCTTCGGAGTCAACCTGACCCTGCTCCCCGCCCTCGTTCCTCCCGACTACGCGGCCTACGCCCAGGTGATCATCGATGAGGGAATCAAGATCGTCGAGACAGCCGGAAACAACCCGGGCCCTGTGATCCAGCAACTCAAGAAAGCCAATATCATCGTCCTGCACAAGTGCACGACGATCCGCCACGCCAAGTCCGCCATCAAGCTGGGCGTCGACTTCTTGTCGATCGACGGATTCGAGTGTGCGGGCCACGTCGGCGAGAATGACATCACCAACTTCATCCTCCTCAGCCGAGCGCGCCAGGAGCTCAAGGTGCCGTTCATCGCCTCCGGGGGGTTCGCCGACGGACAGGGGCTGGCGGCGGCGATGGCCCTTGGAGCGGAGGGCATCAACATGGGAACCCGGTTCATGTGCACGGTCGAGGCGCCCATTCATAAGAATGTGAAAGAGGCGATTGTCAAGGCGGATGAGACGGACACGGCGTTGGTGATGCGCCGCTGGACGAACACGACCCGTCTGTTCGGGAATAAGGTCTCCAAGGAGGCTCTGAAGGTGGAACGGGAAAGCAAGACGGGCGAGTTCAGCGAGATTGCCCCCTTCGTGAGTGGCAAACGAGGTCGTGAGGTGTTCCTGACCGGTGATGTCGATTTTGGTGTATGTTGTTCCTCTGCCACCCTCTCTCCTTGCGGTCTTCGGAATCTCCTGGCCTCCGGCTAACTTTATCTTAGGTATGGACTGCCGGTCAAGTCATCGGTATGATCCATGACATCCCGACATGTGCTGAGCTTCTCGAGCGAATCGAAAAGGAGGCCGTCCAGGCGTTGGATCGGGTGAGGTCGTTGCACACAGCAACGGCCCAGAGTAAGCTGTAGAAGAGCCAACCTGATTGCTGACTGGACGGATCGAGAGGGTGCTACGGTACACGCGGGATATGTATTACGTTTAGTTCTTTATGCAAGGAATTAGACTTCATCTCCGTTTTTTTTTTTTTTTCTGCGGTATAGTCTTTTTCACGTCATGTATACAGAGGCGTGCTCACCCTTGCAGAGCGATGCGCTCTGTCAAGGGATGGAGGAAGGGGTGATGCTGAACGAAACAAAGTGTCTCGCCCTCGCCCATCACCCTGCGACCAGTCAGAAATAGCACGATGGTGCCAAAACGTTCTCCTTGATCAACACATGATGCATACCCCGCGGTGATGCAGCTGGGCCCTCTCCTTACATGCCCCTCCCAATACGCCGGAGAATTGCGATCGCCAGTCTACTGTACTCCCCATCAGCATCATTGTATGGTCTTGGAAAACGCTGACCTAGCACAGAAGAACTGCAGAGTCGCTGACGGGTATACCGGGTAACGAGGTTACAAAGCAGCTGCACTGAATCGCCACTCGGGATACTGGACGGCTATCATGATCTTAATTTGGACTTACCCTCCTTGCAGCTATTCAGTCAAGTCAAGGTCTAGACTAGACGTTGTGATACTTTGTACTATGTCCGGTTCGCTGACTAGAAGCTCCTAGGGATTGATCGTCTACTTGCAATGAAGCCTCTTCGGTATCTGAGACCCGGCGAACTAGCCTTCACTATAGTGGCATCACGATGCTATCACCACCTTACCAATATTTGCAGCAGGGGCACACTCTACTCGACAAGACCTGTATCTCGCCTATCGCAATCACACCCTCATATAGGGGTCAATGCAAGAGTTATCTTGACCTTCAAAACCCCCAGCGTCCAATAATCTAATCCAACTCAATAAATCCTCCTATGACCTCAAGACAAAAGATCGAGTTTGGAACTTTATTCCCTCCCCTCCCCTCCCTGTCCCGGAAGTATCAATCTCCCCGACAACGACCACAAAAGAAAGAAAGGATAAATCCAAAATCAGTGTTGAGACAACAAGTCCCAGCGGAGTCGGTAGCAAGTGACCAGAGCCCGACGAGAATCACGAAGGAATACTTCAACAGCAACAATCCCCCACCTCAGAATAATCATGACAAGATCAAGCGTGAACTCCGACCTCATGCGTCGACCCCGAAACATGGGGGTTCTCTTCACGCTCCTCCTGCCCTGCATTCAGGTGCGCAAGCTGCGACGCTCGCGCCGCCAACGTGATCACCATACCTCGTGGTCCTGCGCGGGAATCCCCGAGTTTGAGGAGCAGCACCAGCACCAGCACCAACTTCAGGGAACCACCGAGAAAGAACTTCATAACCAAGACACCGAAGGGTACACGGAGCTGTCGAGCTTCCCCGAGAAACCACAACAAGCCGCAACAGCAGCAACAACAACAACAACGCTGACGCACACGAAGTCCATTCGCCTGGTCAGCTGTGCGGACTCGGAATGCTCGACGCTGGGGCCGGACGATGGTCCGATTCTGGAGAAGGATGACGAGGCAGGGGACCAGGAGAGGGAGAATTTCCTGGCGGGCAAGGAGAGCGCGTCCGAGAATGGGAATGCGACTATGTTGTCGTTGCTGTCGGATGAGGAGACGGATGTGGAACAGTCGAGTGGTGGTGGTAGTCCGCCGCTGGTGCAGAGGGTCATTGCCATGGAGGTGGTCCCGTCTTCACGGCCGCCATCGCGCGCTGGCGCTGGTACTCCAAAAAGTAAAGATGATCTTGATCTGGAGCTGGCGAGCCGTCGGGTCCCCCCAATTCCAGCGGCTGATCGACGGCCCCGGCCGGCGAGTATGGAGGTTCACTCTTCTACCGGGGGCGCGCTGAAGCTTCCCGAGATCAAGAGTCGGATGATCGACGATATTCCGGAGGATGTCGAGGGGGAGATCGTCGGCGTCAAGGTCCGGCCTTTGAGGCAGGCTGCGAGGAAGAGTGCGGTTCTGAAGCCGACGGGTCAGGAAGAGGAGGAGGAGGAGGATGAAGATGACAAGAAACGCTCCTCAACCTGGCGACTCAGTCAACGCAAGTCAATGATCGAGCTTTTCAGTCTTCTTCAATCCACCGCCGCGGCCGTCGCCGCGGCCCCGAAGTTCTCGAACCTCAAACTACCTCTCACTCAGAGGTCGCCCTTCCGCTTCTCCACCAACGCCGTCGTCGATGAATCGCCCTCCTCGGTATACTCCACCGCAGCCACCACAACCTCACCATCTCGATCAGCAGCAGCACCACCCCCAAACGCAGCACCACCCACAACGCCAACCAAAAAATCCAAGCTCCCCTCCCCACCACCACCCACGCCTCCCCCGAAATCCCCCAAACAACTCCAACAACGGCCCCTCCCGCAGACCCCGCGACGCAAGCACCGACACAGCAGCTTCCAAGAGCAAATCTCACCCCCAACGGTAACCTACCGCACCACCCCAAGCCCAAGTCCCACCAAGAAACAACGCCGAATGGGCACCGTCCTCTTTCCTCTAACCTCCTCCTTCCGTCCCAGCGGTGGTACCAACAACAACAACAGCTCCAACGTGACGACGATTCCGACAACCAACCCTCCCTCCCCTTCCCGTCGTCAGTCTCATCTCCAAAAAAATGCACAGACTCTTTTTTGCTAGCCACGGAGTTCGGGGTACCGGTGCAGGGGTTCGGGTTCTCTTTTGTTGGTGTCTATGGTCTATCTCGGGGGGTTTGGTCGCTTCTTTATTGAGGGCTTTGTTCGGCTTCTGAGGACTTTTCTGTTACTTGTAACCCAAGTAATACCCCCTGTATCACTTTTGGGTTTTCTCTTCTCTTCCATGGTGTATTTACTTTCTTTGAGATGATTGTATCATCTGTTTTTATGGGGGTGTCTACTTTCTTTAGCTGTGTGTGTGTCGATTAGTTCCGGGCCTGATTGTTAGTTATCTGTTGATCGGGTCTGGGGTGTACCTTCTAGGGTTCTATTTCTGTGACAGTTGCTGGCTAGGATGACTACCGTATCAAATACTACACGTCGCTCCCTCTAGGTCTGAAGATGGAATGGACTGAATTGAGTTGGGAGAGAGAGAACAGTACGGACAATGCAGGAGCTTGGAAGTTTAATCATCATCATCATCATCTATCTCTTTCTTGTATACCACCACATGCACCTTCATTGATATCCACGCAGGTAGCTCGGCGGGATCATCAAATCCCTGAATCAAGACACCTTCTTCCAAAGTGTACTTACTGTATCTGAGCTGTGGTCCTGCACACGTACAATGGAACACGACTGACTCGCAACTCGCAATTCACTGCCTACTTTCCTACTCGATGATCAACCCCGATAGGAGTTTCCGTAGGATAGGGCCGACCTGCGGGTTCGGCTTTGCCTCCCGCTAACTTATGATACCAGCCAGCCTTTGATATGCGCCGAGAGCCTCGGTGATCCAATAACCAGAGCTAAGCCTATGCAGGCAGCGTGCGTGCAGGGTTTGTGGGAAAGGGTTAAGTGAGAGGGATCCTGAAAAAGAAGGCAGTGGAGTGAACAAGGTTTCTTTTTCTGGGGAATGCATACGGAATAAGAGCGTGGGTTGTTGTTGTTGGTGTGGTTCTGTGTAGAGGAGCGGGTGAGTAAGGGTGAGGTACTACTGCTACTGATGTTAGGATGCTATGTGATTTGGCTTGGTGGTACATGGGGGGGCCAGGCCGGGGCGTGCCTTGTGGGTGGGGCTCTGCTGTGAATGGTGGCTTGAAGGTAGGGTAGTTCAGTTCGGTGGTTGAGGATGGTTCGTCGGGGGAAAGTTTACCGTTCTACCTACCTAATAGAGTACCCGCTCATTTTAAGTGGTCATTCTATCTCCACAAGTCAATGGGTGAGCGGGAGTTTTAGTGAGGGTAGGTGCAAATGAGATCAGCCCGGGGAATTATAAGGAGGAGAGGTGGAATGTTAGTAGGGATTGAAATTGCAGAGGGGGATGTCAGATCATCCAATATGCCCAAATGGCATGGGCAACTACGAGGTAGAGGATGCAAGTGGAAAGAATCAGGTAAAGCAAGTCTAATGCATTAAAGCTATATGCCACGACACCGGCGCTGGAGCACCGGGAAATGCACAACTAATGATCAGATCATAGTTCCAAAAAGCAAAGAACACGAATCTTCTTTCTCCGAGAGTGCCACAGGCGCACAATTAATGGTATATCATCTGCTCAAACAGGAGTACACCCGCAATCCTCCAAGACCGGAAAATAACAAGGCGGCCTGTTTTCCTAGCCCCGATCCATGGCCCCGAAGGGCTTGACGAATAGTGGCCATAAGCAAAGACTGAACCCGCTTACAAGATAGAGCCGAGGGCAATGCAAGGCAGGGCAACGCCGATGAGGGAGTCGCTCTGTCGGAGAGGTTAGCAGCTGATATGGGCTGAAAGAGCGGCGGAAGACACTTACGGCGTCCGAGGGGGAGCCCTGGCAACAGGCGATGTTCTGCTTGCACTGCTGGTTGACAAGATCCTGGAGAGGGATGCCAATGATGGGGACTGCGGGTTGTTAGGAAGGCTCCGATGCAGCCATTCAAGGGAAACGTACTCTGGAGATCGAGCTTGGAGCACTGGTCGAAGAGACCGAGACCCTCAGAGCCGGAACCAGTACCAAGGAGGTTACCGAGGGTACCAGCGAGGATACCGTCGTCAATGGTGGTGGTGTCACCGGCGTAGGTGGCCTTGTTGCAGCAAGACAGCTGAGCCTGGTCACCACACTTGGCGGAAGCCTGCTTGACGGTCACGTCGTCAGGGACGGGGAAGCGGACATCGCTGTTGCCCTTGTTGCCGTTGCCGTTGCCGACACCAAGGTTGCCGTTGGCTTCGGGCTTGCTGGGCATGGCAGCGACGGTGGCAGCGAGGGCCAGAACAGCGGCGGAGATGGTGAACTTCATTGTGACTGTGGGGTTGGATTTGAACGAGAGAGTGAACTCGGATGAATTGTATGTATAAAGAACGGTAGGTCTGTAAGAGACTGGAGGGAGAGAATGCTCAAGAGAGTGATTGTGTGATGATGAAAAGAATCGACTGGAGGGCAACTTTCACCACCCTTATATAGACTTTCGTGGAGGCTCTCGAGCTCGAGGTCCATACACTGTCGAGCCTAACAAACCGGTGTCCTGCACAGCACAGCAGCAGCTGCTGCTGCTGTTGCATCCTCCTCAGCATGCCCCTTGTGGAATGCAGAATGCAAGGACGTGTTCGCCGTCCTCGTTCCTGAGGATCCATACTTGGCTCGGTCCCCACTCCCTGGGCCAAGAGCTCCCTCTGCTCCAGCAGACGGTATGGATCTGCCCTAGCTATCGCCTCTGGTTGCTTGCTTGCAGCCAGTCGGTACTGCCGCGATGCTTTCCAGCTCAGACTCGGCGCCTTTGCAGGATAACTGGGGTACATTGCAGCGAGACTAATGTCTCATTCCTCCGACCCATTCAAGTCGATCGTCATACAATCTCTTGCCAGCACACGTTTGAAGGTGCATGCTTATGCATTTCCCTTCGTCAAGATTCTTACCCTTCCTCGTTAGCTCACAAACAACCACCCCGACCCTGGACTCTCAACAATACCTCGAGAACCCGATGGCAGCCACTTTCCGCCACCGTATCTTGTCGTATGCCCCTTGCCACAAGCCCTACGGCCCCAGTCGTCCCTCCTCGCCGCCCTCACGCCTGACTCCGAAGACGCTCGTGCGGTATGCGGGTGGCGTGGCAAGCATTGTTGGGCTGTGGTCGACCCTCGAGTAAGGTTGCAGGGCATATGCAATAGCATGCTTCGAGCTGCAAGGGGTGGGGAGGTGTGGATCCAAGATCGAGGGTCTGTCAATCAATCCCTTTCCTCCTTGTTGTTCCCAAACACATACCCGGAGCTTGATGTCCATGTGGGCGGAGAGAGAGAGGGGGGGGGGGCTCTGTAGCGGTGGGAAAGCGCAAGGGGCACAAGATGACTAGTTGCTACCTAATTTCCGCGTGCAAGGACAAAGTAAACCCTGTTCGCGGAATTTCTTGCCCGTGCCCGTGAATAATCATGTTTTGATTTGTGTTTCGGAAGAAATAGTGACTGTGCAATCCTTTCCTTGGAATTTGGCTCTTTCGGAACAAAGAGACCTGGACCTGGTTGTCATGGGCAGCGGAACTCGGTTTCATTACTGGATTTGAGACACATGACGAGGCCGGATGGTAGATCCTTGTTTGCGGTGTCCATCCGTTGGTTGGCTGCTGGCTGCTCTGACCGCAGGATGGCTCATACTTGGGCTGAGTTGGTGAACGTACGGGTTGCAAGTTGGCGTTCAGCGGTGTATTCGATCTTGATTGTGGTGCAGTGCAGATGCTGGTTTGTTGTTCGATGCGGTTGGCGAACATGTGATCCTCTTCTTTTTTACTCGGAGCCTGAGTGCCTGGGTGCCTTTCGGCCTCGACTCAATTGTGAGGCATCAATCAGTCCAGGTCAGTCTACAGTACAGTGGAATAGCATGCACATATACAACAGAAAGATTTTGCAAGCAAAACCTGTTAGCTCTGTAATTAAGAAGGATTCATTACTTTGGTTGGGGCACATTCAACAATACTCAGATCATGGCTGCCGGTGTATCATGAAGTCAGAATATCTGATGCTTGTGCACAGAGGTATATACGTATATACATATATATCCTTCTAGTGTATGCTAATACCTCCTCTGAATCCCCACTGCTCTGGTATACATTATTAATTTTCAGAATTCTAAAATCAAGCCTACACTTCAATCCAGCTTTATCCTTCACAGAGCGAATGGTGGTCGAGGCAATTATGTTAGCCCATTGTAGCTGGTATCTCATTCCCATCACAAGTTTCGAGATGGAAAAGCCACTCGGGTTGTAGTGCTAAAAGATCATATGACCTATGTTCCAGATGTACTAACTTACGCAGATATCTTTCTTGTACTCGCATTTTGGCAAAAGAGACCACATCTATGAAACCACCAGGAGATAAAAAGTAGCCTCTTTACCCTCTATACCTTACAAAAGCCTCCAACCGACCCAAAGCCAAGTGTGTCGCATGTTCAACGCTCATCAAAAAACCCCTCATATGGATGGCCTGAGGATGCGAAAATGCAGACTCAGCCAAGTAGGGGCATGGACTGGTTCGGTCTTTGCCGATGATTAAGCCTGGTCGTCGAAGCAAGGGTGAATCTGAGCAGAACGGATGCTTTGTATTGAGCATAAGCACAAAGCTCTTCTACATTGCTGACATGGTTGTGTCTCTTTAGATGTAGGAATGCCAAGGTAGTTTTTACTTTGGACGGACGGTATGGGAATTGTCGTCTCGTAGGTCGCAGCAGAACTGTAGATGTAATTGGAGCTCTTGCTGAGACTTGATACAAAAGTGAAAGGTCTGTCGGTGCAGCTTGATTGATGGTGAAAAGATCCAGACCATGGGTTCGGTTTTGTAATTTGAGAGAAAGTCATGAACCTTTGAGCGATTATCAGGATATATAATCCACGAAGACGGTCACATTGGCTTTACTGAAGACTGAGCTCAAGAAATAAGTGCTACTTGCAACCCAGACTCCCTATATGACTGATACTAGTATCTCATATTCGATCACGATCTAAACCCTAATTCATTTGAAAGACTCCAACAAGAGGATAAGGTCCGAGGTCATCACCTATAAGGTAGGCGTATCCCCAGCTACTTCCACCTCCACCAATCAGAAACCCCCGAGATCGAGACACTGTCCCGGGACATCCGCTAATCCCAAACCAGCTAGCGTCCAGCTCACCCAGCTCGGGTCCGCTCCGACTCTCCCAGATGAGTAAGCGGTCTAACGGGGCAGCTTTCGCTATCAGCTTCCCCAATTCCTTCCACTATCTCTTCCTCTGCGCCGCCAATTCAGCTCCGGTTATCAGAGAGAGAAGATAAGAATTCGCTGAGAATCATATGCATCCAAAGGGTTGCTGACGCTCTCTGACTCGAGCTTCTTACGACAGAACACGGTCGCTACGTGCATTACGCGCGCCCAAAGCAAAGCCAAAAGAAAGAGAAAGAGAGCTAATCCCAGCATGTCCGCGACGTCGCCGCAAGACGTCACGGGTGGTGGTGGTGGCGTCGCGTCCCCCGCTCCGGAGTCTCCCTCGCGCAATACAGCGCAGGAGCAGTTTCTTGCTCCGAGTGTAAGCACGGAAGAGACAGCGTCAAGGAAAGAGGAAGAGGGGGCGGGACAAACACAGCGGCAAGAGGAGGATGTATCCGGTCAAGAGGCGGAAGAAGGGGAGGTAGAGGGGGAGTTGCGCCACGAGCAGGACGGCTCGGAGAAAGAAGAAGGGGAGGAAAAAGAAGAAGCAGCAGCAGAAGACCAACAAGACACATCAGCTTCGGCGCCACCGTTACCAGACGAAGTGCCCCCACCGCTCCCCAACGAAGTGCCACCGGGCGACGACGATGGATGGGAACCCGTCTGGGATGCCAACGCCCAAGCCTACTACTTCTATAACCGCCTCACCGGGGTATCGCAGTGGGAGAATCCACGGGTACCAGATGCCGCCGCCTCCGCCTCGTCCGCCGCCGGCGCCGTTCCCCATGACGACAACGGCGACGACGGCGACGACGGCGACGAAGACGGCAGTATCCAGGTAAAGCGCGCACGCGTCCTGGGTGGCTACAACCCCGCCATCCACGGCGACTACGACCCGACGGCGCCGTACGCGCAGCAGTACGAGCGACAGGAGGAGGCGGCCGTCGCCGGCATGGACCCGAACCAGGCGTACGAGGCGGTGGGCGCCTTCAACCGGTTCACGGGCCGGTGGCAGGCGGCCTCGCAGAACCCGGAGTATCACAATGACGAGAACAAGTCCAAACGGCAGATGTATGCGTTCTTCGACGTGGACGCGGCGGCCAACAGCCATGATGGCCGCAGTCTGCGGGCGGAACGCAGCGCCAAGAAGCTTACCAAGGCGGAACTCAAGATGTTCAAGGAGAAGAGACGGGAGAAGAAGGAGGAAAAGCGCCGCGCATGGTTGAGGGATTGAGGACCTTTTCAAAGCCGGCTTCGAGTCGGGGTTCTTTCTTTGTTGTTATTGTGTTGTGTGCTGAGATACCTTTTCCCCGTTCTTTGACCTTTTCTTTTGGCTCGTTTCGTTTTTGTGTATCTTTTAAGGTGGCTAGCTTACACTGGCGTTCTATGTACTTCACAAAATGCATAATAGAGCCACAAATGGTATATATGAATCAGTTGATTAGTGCCTTGTAGAGAGGTTAACTTGTCTTGATGAATGTGTGGGGGGTTCATGCCGTATGTATGAATATACCGGATGAGGAGGCGGCGATACAAGATAAGATCCACCGGGAATCGGGATGACAGTCACCTGACCGGGCCTCAAAGTTCTCCCCATCAGAAGGACAATTGGGATAGCTTCACATTGTCCGGAAGAGTTGGAGCCTCTCACATACTTAATCTAAAGGTAAACCTTGCGTTGATTTGCTGCCTTACACCTGCTATACACTTTCCAATTCAAATCATCAATTTGTGTGCAAACCCCACCCCAAAGTGACTGGGAGGGGGAGGGGGTGTATACCGATGACAAGCAAAAAGAAAAAAAAAATTCCGAAAAGGGAAATATCAGAGGATTCCAGGCCGCAGGCCAGCATCGCCACTTTCCAGATGTATCAGACCAAGAAAGCAGGAAGCATGGCACTTTGAGCGTCCAGCTATCAAAACCATCCACCCAATCCCTTTTTTTTTTCCTAGTCCAAACAACATCGCACCTTCCCGCATCCCATCTGGAAATCCTATACATAAACGCGGATCAAGACTCAACCCGCTAATCAACCTCGCAGATACCCCACTACATCCATCATCCTCCCAAACAGAGTGAAAGCTTTTTTTCTATCTCCATCAGTGACGAAAAGAACCCAAGCCAACCAGCCATTTTGCCCGTATTAGCCCAAAAAGCAAGGTCGACCCCCTTAAAAATGGCTTCAACGATCACCCTCCCCGCCGACACGATCGACGATCTCATCTACGACGCCCGCTCCGGCGATCTGGCCGCCCTCAAGGAGGACCTGACGGCCTGCAGCGCCCAGTTCCCGGACGTCTCGCTGGGCGCCGTCGTGGCCGCCGCCATCGACGCCGCCCCGGAGGCCGAGGGAGGCAGCGGATCCAGCCTGTTGCATTTCCCGGCTGCGAATGGGAATATCGGTGCGTAGTCTTCCTCTTGCCCTCACTCCCCTCTTTCTGGGGCTAAAACTAACCGACTGCACCAGAAATCCTCACCTACCTGCTCACCCTCCTCGCGACGGAGGAGGAGTCGACGCGCCGCCGCATCGTCAACCACCGCAACCACTCCGGCAACACGCCGCTGCACTGGGCGGCGCTGAACACGCACCTGGACTGCGTCAAGGCGCTCGTCGAGGCCGGCGCCGACAGCTCCGTCAAGAACGACGCCGGCCTCGATCCCGTCTTCCTGGCTGAGCGCGCGGACTGGTCGACGCAGGAGGAGGGAGGTGCTGCTGCTGCTGAGGCTGAGGCGGAGGCGGAGGCGGAGGCGGACGCAAATGCGGCGGCTGATCCCGGGAAGATGTCCAAGGGACGGCAGGTCGTGGAGTGGATGTTGAGCGCCGAGGTGGCTGCTGCTGGTGGGGATTCGGAGACGGTGGTGGCCTCGGCTGGGGTGCCGGTTACTGGGAATGGGGATGAGTAAAAGATTTGAGAATCAGAGATTATTCCCCTTCTTCTCTCCTGTGAACTGCTTACATGGTGTTTGTATTTGATTCTTTTTTTGTATGGTTAATCCCTAGGGTCTTCTTTGTTTGGTCGTGTTGTATAGAATTCTTCGTTGGTGTATGTTTTATACAGCGGGAAAAAATGTTCATTTTGGGGATGCTGTCTATCTTATGGTTCGAAATGGGTTTCGTCTAATGTCTTGCTGACCGTAGCTTGTCATGTCATCAATGCAGGTGGGATGTGGGTAAGAGGCAATTAGGTAGTGAATGGTCGCGCAAATCATACCGGTCAGGTTCGTTGGCTCATGGGTTCCCACTAATCTCGTCGTGTCTTGTTTCGATCCTGCGACGCACCCGACGGGCTGGATCGTGACGACGAGAGACCCGGCATCGTGCTCGTCGTGGCATCGCCATCAACAATCTCGCGCACCCGCATGTCAAGGCCGACCCGGAATCGGCGGTCCCGCCAGGTCACGGTGACCCCTCCGTAGAAAGCCCAGATCCAGATCGGCAAAGCCAGCACCTCGCGCCCCAGCCAAGCGGCCAGCCAATGCAGGAACGGACGACGGGTAACGGTGCCCTGGGGGGGCGGTCGCGCGAAGGACGGGGTATCCTCGTCGAGCTCGACGGTGCGGCCCGAGTGCAGCATGATGTAGACGAGCCAGTCCGTGAGGATCCACCCGAGCATGCTCAGCGCGAAGCACGCCCAGAAAGCGGGCCAGGTGGACAGCGCCGCCTCGGCCGCGGCGTACCCCTTCCTTCCGAGGAACTGCGCCAGCGCCATCGTGACCCCCCACGCGCCGTAGCACGAGCACAGGATCGACTCCGTCCCGGGCTCGACCAGCGTCGCCAGCAGCACGGTGAACTTGCGCACCCGGAGCCATCGCACCCGGCGGGCCACGTACGACTGCACGCTCATGTGTGCCACGGGCTGGAAGGCCAGGTCCCCGAACACCATTGCGTGCTTGCCCCACCGCTGGCCCAGCTCCTTCTCCTCGCGCACCGGACTCTTCCACAACAGGTCCCCGATCAGGTGATCCTCGCAGATGTTGTCGGAAAAATGGTCGATGCCCGGGTTGCGGCGGCGCCGATCCGCGGCCGCGGCCGTCGTCGACGGTGCCGCCGCGGTCAGGTAGTCCAGATGCGAGCGGCGGAACATGTTGGACTTGCCCACGATGCAGGGGGCGATGAGCACGGTGTTGATGGCGGTGTACATCTTCGCATGCGACGACGACAGGAACAGCTCCTCCAGCCGGCCACCCCCGGTCGTCAGGGGCCCGGCGGCGGCGGCAGCACCAGCAGCATCATCATCACCATCATCCCAGCCGTTGGTGTAGGACTCAAGCAACGCCTCTTGCTCCCCTCTTCTCGTCTTTAGACCTTCCTCCCCCGTCACATCCACCGCGACAGGTAGATGATGAACGAACTTATACCGTTTGCCGCCTGCTGTCCCGCACAATTTATCCACCATCCGCCCACACACCCCCTTCCCCACCCAGACATTGCAATCGATGATCCAAACGATATCGCCCTTGGCTTCCCGGTATGCCCGACTCATATTCCGGATCTTCGGGTTCGGACCCAGCTCGTAAGCGGGGGGAGCAGCAGCAGCAGCAGCAGCGGAAGCATGACCACCACCGTCCTCGGAATGAAGGAGCGGATCGTCGTCCTCAACGAAGATCCGCGCGTCGGCGTGCGGGAAATCCGACACCAGTTTCTGGAGGGTCGGGTAGGCGGGGTCGGTCTTCGTGGAGATGCAGAAGTAGACAGTCAGCTTGTCGCGGGGGTAGTCCTGGCGGAAGGTCGAGGCTAGACATTCGTAGAGGTGAGGCTCGAGGCCCTTGACAGGGCGGATTGCGGTGATGTGAGGGGTGTTATTGGGGCGGGCGGAGGAGGACGTGGTGGATTTCTGGGGTCTTTGGAGGCAGTGTTTCCATCTAGTTTGCGGTGATGATCAGCTTTTGGTGTTGATGAAGTCAAAGGGTTGCAACATTCGGTGGAAGGGGTGTTTTTTTTTTGGTTGTTGTAACGTACATCTGATAAGTGCCCAGCGAGCAGACCAGCGTCACGGTCGTATACCAGACCAAACCGACCCAGCCCGCGACGACTGGCCATTGGATGTCGCCATGGCCAGTGGCCAGTCCAAGCTCGGAGGCAAGCGAACGCAGGTGAAGCGTCAACATAGGCAGAAGCAGAAGTGGGTAGCAATGACAGAGTCATCCGACGAGGAAATCATTCTATGGAAGAGGGAAAACTGGCGAAGCGAGTGACAGCAGGCAGATGGACAGAGCACCAAACACACGTCGCGTCATTCAATCTCAATGCGGCCTCGACCAGACTGCAAGAAGGTCAGATGGCAATTCAAAAGAAGTGTAGTCAGTCCAATCAGACCAAGCTGTTACCTAGCAAGCAGCTAGCTCCAGGGTAGTTGGTCAATGGCTGGCTGAGAGAGGCTGAGACTCGATGCAGTTGCCGGTTTCCATTCGGGTCTCACGGATTCCGGGTTCGGCGCGCGCGCGATGGGGAAAGTGGATTTTCCCGATCGTCGGGCGCATCTCGTCGTTTGGCGCTTGATTGTTTGTAGTTTGCGTACTGTACCCAGTGATGTCCGCTGCCCCTGTCTAATTTCAAGTTTCATAGCTGCGTATGTCCATGTTTCAGGTAAGAGAAATGCGGTGAAGTGGTTTTTATTAAGTAGTAGTATGCTGATTGGCCTGTTGCCCGTTCCGTGGCTCTGATTAGTATTCAAATCCTAGGTACGGTTGAACTCGGCCTCCAGTAGTTCCCTCCAAATCCTGCTAAAGACAAATAGATAATGAAAAAAAGTGATGAAATCCCAGTATGCAGTCCCTAGAAAGGTAAAAGCGAAACGCGAAGATAGAGAAAGAAAAAAAAAAGAAAGAACAACCCAGGCTGACTATCCCGATATTCCCATTCCTACTGTACAGTGCACAATGCCCGTGCTTTATCGACCATCCTCGCTGCTCATAGTACTGTGCAAAACCATACGCCGAGCAGGCGAATCACTCCGAAGTTACGTCTTCTTCTTCTTGCGGATCAAATTAGCTTGTAGAACATTGACCCCGGAAGTTGACTCGGGTGTAGGAGTGGACGCTGTTGCATCTGCCGGCGGTGCATTGGCGTCTGTCGCGGGCTCCTCGGCGGTCTTCTCAATGCCTTCAGTTTTGGCGGGTTCATCTCCGACCTTCTTGCGTTTTCGGACCAGTGTGCTGCTGATGAGAGTGTTGACCTCCGTAGTCTGCTGGGAAGGATTGTCGGTGCTGCCTCGGCCCAGGACCTGTTGCCCGACCCAGAGTTGGTCAGCAAGTGAGGCAATCTTCTGCCCCCAGGCTCTTGTACTGGCGATAGAGACCTCCTGGTTGAAGAAGTCCTGCTCAATCAAGAAGTCAATCGCCGCCTTGTAGTCGGCTTCGCTGAGCACAGCGTGGCCACGCCCTGCCTCCGGCCAGAAGAAAGCACTGGCGGCTGTGGTGCGTTGTGCCGTGGACTCGGATACGGACAGGGACTCAGCAGTGGGTTGGGGGGCTGCGGCATCGACCGGCTGTGCGACACTCGGGCCTTCTGAGGCTTCAGGTTGCTCCAACGAGTCAGACTTAGAATCATTGGATTGTAGCTCAGGTACTGTAATCGGCGCACGGGCTCCGGCATGTCTAGCATCACACGAGAGGGTCTTACGGTCACCGAGGACAGACCGGGAGCTGGTCATCTGGACCGAATTGACCAGCCCCGGCGGGTTGATGACAAGCCACAGAAACCCGACCAATCGTCCCGAAGAGCACTCCTGGCGGAAAGACATCATCTCCCAGAACTGATCCAGGGACTTGACGCTCCGCCACTGACCGGGCGCAACCGAGGAGGACTTCCCGTTGTCCCCGGACTGCGGGGGAAGCTCATCGTCCAGGTCAATCAGAAATCGCGTTTTCGGGTCATCGGGGAAGCGGGGGACCAGACAGCGCGGCGGCGCCTTGGGGTCGTCACAGAGCTGATGCAGAGGATAGCTGTTGCGCCATCTGGGGCGTTCCTGGCTGTCCAGCCGGGCGGCACTGGGGAAGAAGCCCCGGGTTTCGAACTTGTCACACCCGGGGACTATCAGGAAGGCCGTGGCCGAGCTCTGCGCCGACTCAGTCTGTCGGTCCAGGGCGTTCTTCTCGTGCGAGCCGGACTCCGGCTCGTACTCGCGGAGAATCGGGTCGAACACGCGGCACCACCATTTGATCAACCCCCGATCGTCGAGGACATGCTTGCCCGCGTTCTCGATGCTGCCGGGGAACAGATACTGGTTCTGCGCGCGCGCGAAAAGGGACACCACGAGGCGGACCCCCGGTCGCTGATGCGTGCGGACCAGAAAGGAGAGAAAGGTCTGCGAAATGCGCCGGAGCAGGGAGACCTTCGGGGCGTTCTGGAGTAGATGTAAGAACCCGGTCGAGTCGGCCTTGGAGACAAAAATCGTCGTCAGGTGCGCGGTGCTGTAGATCAGCACCTCCACCCCCAACACAATAATCTCGGCGCCATCTTTGCCCTCCGCATCCACCGATGCAGTCAGAAAATGATTCTCGCAGAAGGTCGGCTCGGAGGTTTCGCCCGGGGGTGCGGCGAAGAGCGCAGGGCAGGGAGTGGGAGTCGAGGAGACATGGCGAATGGTAATCTTGACACCGGCGGGCAACACCTCGGCCAAGAGATCGCCTAATTCCACGTCGACCTGAGACATGGCTGGCCTGGAAAAGACCCTCGAGATGGCCAATTCAACATAAGATGTCCCAGGTATGAATTTGGAGAGAATTGCCCCGTCGGGTCTTTCTCCTGCGATATCCTTTCTCCTGGTCTTTTTTCGACCCCCTCAGACGCGTTCCATTTCACGGGCGCATCACGTGCCCGGAATCTGACTCTTTTCGTCTGCTGCTGTCAGCACTTTATCCCTCGCTTATCTCCAGAAGGAATTCGATGGAATTTATCAGGTTCAAGCAAAGTCGTTTTACTGAGAGGAAAGGTGAGAATTGAGTTGCATGAGTACTTATTTTGCCTTGCACAGCGGGAGGCAGCTCCCACAAACAGGAAAGATCTCGCAAAATGCATAGACGGACGGAACTGGATAAACCAAGTAATATTGAGACTCCCAAATTTCAAAAAGGACGTCCAAAAAGCTATCCATCCTTGCCTATCTATACACACCAAGAAGACTTAGAAGTAGCCCGCCACCGCCTCTAGATCGTCGGCGTTCAGCAACGCAACCCCCTCCTCGAGCAAAGTCCTCCAGATATTGTTGCGAGTACGGATCGGATAGTAAGGGGTACCCCAGTATCGCGCTCCGATTCCTCTCTTCTTCGCGGCTGCGATTTGCGCGCGGATGGCCTGGCTTTGAGTCTCATCCAACTCACCATGAGAAAGAGGACCCACGGCCGCCACGAAATTGGTGGACGCAATCGGGGAAATTAGACCGGTTACATCAGCGAATTGACCCTCGCCGAGCTGGTCAAGGGGTGCATCGAAGAAATAGTCTCTGTTTGCCACCGGTCCGACCAGATCCAGCGGCGTGTTACCGGTGCCTATCACTGTGACCGGTCCTTCGGTGATAGTCGTATTGTCTTTTAGAGTGGTCAAGTAGCCACGAGCACGGAGTGGCTCCAGGGCCTTGATAACCGCATCCAAGGTTTCAGGTCCGGAGGTCTTCAGGTCAATGAAGAAGTAAAGCGTTTGTGAGGTGTCAGTGTCGAAGACACCGCTGGTAGGAGTCAGCGCAGGCCACCGCTGATGCACCATTGATCACAGAGCGATCAAGCGATAAACAGGGCATCTTACTTTTTCGTGGGCGACGTCACAAATCGAGACGTGGGATTCTGGCGTTGAAGCACGTCCAAAATAGGGTTGATGTAGAGCGACTCTAGTGTTCGCTTTTCAGTCAGGGAAGACTCATCGTGGCCGACCTATCCATGTCAGCATCGGCCCGACAATGAAACGCCCTAGGGGACAGACATAGAGGGTGCCATTATACAGCCACACGTCGGCTTCAGTCGATATGCATCCCTGCGATAGGCCTACGGATATAAGTCACTAAGGTGCCATAGACCGGATCATTAAGACCATCCATACATACCCGAATAGAAAGGAATATCTCTCCAGTAGTCACTGGCACGAGGTCAGACATCGTACCTGCTTGGAGAATCGTCGATGCTGGCTTACTTGTGTGAATGGACTGGGATCTGTAGCCCGGTTAGAGTTGCCCTTCATGACGCCTTTCGCAGTGCAAACCCAAGCTTGGTATTGAGCATAAGAATTCAGGAGAACTTACAGGCATCACCCCTCTGGTGAAGTCGGTAGGGTACCCATACTCGTTGCTCATGTGGGTGTTCTTCAGCACGCTCTGTAGTTCCGTCACCGCGCCTGCGGCCTCCGTCGGAGAGCCAAGGAGGAATGCGGAGGCCGCAGCAAGCAGCGATCGGGAAAGCACCATTGTATAAATCGAGAGCTGTCTTCCAAAACAAAAGTACCTGTGGCAGTATCCAAACAGATGGAGGAGCAAAACAGTGTATCTAGAATAGAAACTATCGGAACAGACAAGGAACGGAGGCTGGCGTAAGGTACGGTCCGTCGGAATTGTTGTTGATCACAGAAGCTGGGGACAACTCGGAGAAGCGCAAACGGCCAATCGCAGCCTCACGTGGTGGTCCAGCCCTCATTATTATATCAGCCATTAGACAGCGCATAACATCCATCCCAAAGCTCGGAAAGTAGGCGCTTATAAGCTTTACTATCTATTATATGAAGAACTAATCGGTAAAGAAAATGATCAACAGGTTTAAAAATGCTTCGAAGGCCAACACGCGTGTAAAGAATTAAGCCAATCGTGCAAACGCTAATCAGGTATCATCTAAACCATAGAGTTCATCAATATAACGAAAAGGAAGCTAATGCATCTAAGTGAATCAAGGGATCCTCCCATTACGACCAATTGACTGTGAATGTCCAACGGAGCTTTGTAGTCGTCCCTCAGACCTCGCGAATCGAAGGTGGCCGAGAGTTGCTTTGAGAATCTTGCGTACTACTGCGTCGGAGACTCAGATTGCCAATGCGCTGCACCAGATTGCTACCCACTGCATCGACAGCACCCTTTGGCGCCAGCAGAGTAGGTCCTTGCGCGGCCGCCTCTTGTACCTTGAATAGTTTCACTCCGGTGCCATTCCACACTCCAACAGTGCCAGGTGTAGCACCTGACGCGGACCCAACAACCATTTCGCTCGAGAAGATGAATCCCCAGAGCAAAGATTCATACCAACCCATGGAAAGGGCCGACCATTCGAACGAATGGACACGAACGGGCGAGGGCTCCGAGACAATAACCTGAATCATTGGCTCCTCCACAAAAGTAGGGAGGTTAGTGATCAGCGTGCGTGCTTCTGGGCTGGAGGCAGACTGAAAAGCTGAGTCAGGCACGCGGGGCATGATGGCTGAAATGATGGTGAGAATCGTGTGTAGCGGCAGCTCAGGCAACCAGGATTCAAGCTATGAGTTTTCAGTCAGCAAATAGCACGCTCCATGAAAGTGGGATCTTACTTACCCAGGTAGTAGTCGGTGTAAATCCACTCGAGGATACCAGGAAGGCTGCCGACATACTGCTCTGGCTAGTCATGCTGTTCTGTCTGGAGAAGGTGGGCTGTCCGGCTGGCATTTTGCCACGTGCCTTTTCAGACATCCCTCGAAGTTGAAGGGGCACGCTTTCGTCAACGACAGAAGATATTGATTGCCGTCGAGAAGTCGGTACCGATGAAACCGAGGAAACGTCATGGGACGGCGATTTCGGCGCCTCACCTTCATCGTCGGAGTCATCTCCGCCAATTGCGAAGGGACTATTCTCTTCCGGAATGCGACCCAGCGATGCGCGTGCACCAGAGGGAGCTTGCGTGTCTTCTTCAGTCGGTGAGAGGACAGGGCTTGCGGCGAAATCATTTCCTCCTGACTTTCGCCGCTCATTTTGGCGTTCTATCTCTTGCTGTCCGCTCTCAAGCGTGAATTCGCGCACAGCCTCGAAGCGTCTTCGATTCTTGAGAAGAGAATAAACAAGATATGGGTTGTCTAGATCGAGTTAGCAAGTCAATCGAGACGAAACATATGCAAGCGTATCATACTTGTGAATTGGTGCTCGAGAATAGAATTGATCGATTCAAGCACGGATGCTAGAAGGACGTGGTTCATTTCGTTAGCGAGAAGGAAGCTGGGCGCCGACATCGAATAGAACAACTGCAGCAACTTTGAGCAGGACGCGTGAGACAGATGTTCAACATGTGCAGCAATGTTGTTGATAATTGCCAGTAGCGCAGGATAGACAGCCGTCAATTGTCCTTTGCTGGCGGTAATCAAAGTATGAATAGACTATACCGCTGTTAGTCTCGAATGTGCGAGTACGTACGAACAAGGACATACTATGATCAGGTAATCTGCATATGAACCCTTGAAGCCTGGGATCCGGATACTTTGCGGAAGGGTTTCTTGAGCTTCGAACTTGAGGTTCAAACTCTTGCCAAAATTGGGCTCCACACTCATTGTCTGCAGAATGAAGATGCACATCCTGACCAGGCCCTGCTTGGAGGGGTCGGATTTGTGCACGATGGCATAGAACAGACACAGGATAATGAAATCGTGCGAGCGGTTCGAATCGATGATAAAGGATCTGAAGCGTTTGTTGCACTGCAAGGCCTCCCAAAACAGAATAAGCATCTCGGGTGCCCATTTCACAGATTTTTGACTCCCGGGAAGATAGGAGTTGGTGACTTGCATCTGCACATTGAGCTGTCAGCAACATACGTACTGCAAGACGAATGTAGAGCTTACTGGCTGATTCAGGATTCGGGTCATGCCATCCACGAGAAATTGAAAGTCTTGCGGCCTATGCAGCCTGCCAAAATAATGGCGATAGTAATTCTTCGGAGGGGCCCCACGACCGTCCTCGGGCACTGGATATAGAAGGAGCACCAGAAGAAGCTGCAGGCAGTAGATGACCAGGATTTGTTTCGGGTCTTTCCACACGACATGGTCATACGGCACTCTCCAAGATGCAGGGTTGTATTTGATTGCCTACACGCCAATCCAAGTCAGACACAGGCCTGTTTCGTAGTAAATACTCAATGACTTACCGTGTTTAGTAACGAGCACAGCAGAGTCAAGACTGCCTGCTTGTCGGGACAAGTAGTGATGTACGTGATCGCTCTCACACCTTGCACAGGGAGTAGATCTCAAGAGCAAGTCAGCATGAAATCAGCGTCAGATGTGACCGCCGTGACTCACTTGAAGGCATGTACATCGCTTTCCCGGTCAGAGTCAGCAGTAGCCGTAGGACCTCGCAGCGGTTACTTTCCAGCTCCTTGGTCGACCCCATTGAAGTATTGCATCCCACTCCACTTTGCCAGATTGACCAGGACACTTTAGTCTTTGCAGATGATAGCTTCGGGATCGTAAAGTTGGTATAGAAGAGCAGGTCGAGGAGGGTGTCGATCAGCTCCTCAGCGAGGGGCTTCGCATCCTCCAATTCAGCAGCCCGCGGCGAGGCCTGATCCCGCTCTTCCGCCTGTGCTTCATCGAACAATACTTCTGGTGCCACTTGCGCCTCGCGGGTCTTCTTCTTGCGACGGGCCCAGAAGAACTTCTCCTCCCATTCCTCCAGATGCTCCGCCTCGTAGATGTATGGGAGCAGGCGGGTGAGGATGCGGATACAGTTGAGCGCATCGCGGTCGGGCGCGAGCTCCGGGTCTGGGAAGGAGGGATGGTTTTTCAAAACAGTGAGGCGCGAAGTAACGGAGAGAAGGAGGGTCTCGAAATTCGATAAGGCATGGTCGCGCGTGCGCCGAATGTCGGCCGGGGTGAACAGGCTGAAGACATCCTCCGTCGACTCTGGGAGCTCCCAGAACTGATACCAGATGTGTAAGTTTAGACCTCATCCTGCCGTCAGAAAGCCTCATGGAGCAGAGATACATACCCTGGTCCAGTAGGGATCGTCCGCAGCAATGTCCTTCTCCTCAGACAGACGGAAGATGCCCTGCTTGAAGACTAACTTTGACTCGGAAGCTCCCATCGTGAAGCCACCATGAAGGTTACAAGCCTATCAACCTCATGCAGTTGAGTGATATGGTCAGGGAGGGTAATGCTTGGTGCGAAAATGGTTCTTTCAAGAGAATTGCTTTGGGACGTAAGCCCAGTAATCCGATGCCGCGTGTGAATGGACTTGGTGGCATGTTGGCGTTCGGTCTTGGGTCATTGCCTTGGAAGCGGGTACGACTAGGCCCGCGGAGACCCGACGATCAATCAATCAATCAATCAATCAGCCATCAATAACCCGGGGTGTCCTTCTACCTATCTCTGTCTACTTCTACTGGCTGTAGTCTGGAAAATTTGCGATCGCTCTTCTATACGAAATAGGATTTGAATCTAACATACAAAATGCAGCATCCCTATGCTGATAACGGAGTCTAGAGATCCGGATGCACCCCGCTAGTAATAGCGAACAAAGAGATAAGAAAGGAAAATTCATGAGTTTACATCACCTCCCCTGGCTGCTTCACCTCCACCCACTGCCGCATCCGCCACCAACATCGGTCTTAATAACTGCTATTGCTTGCCGACAGTCGTCGACTTCTCTCGTACAACCACTTGTTGCTCAAACCTAAATTCGCACGCTTACCCCCTACAGGGGATGGACTCGCGGGTCCAAGGCTCGACATGGTTGACAACGACATAGATGACATGGTTGACATGGTCGATTCTTTGAAGGACGCAGTAGAGTCTTTGAAGGACGCGCTAGAATCCTTGAAGGTCGTGGTCGAATCTCTGTAAGGCGAGAATGATGTGCTCCGACCGAGCGGCGATGAAGATCCGAAGCTCGGTCTCCGTCCGCTTTCTTTCCCGCTGCTGTTGACCAATTTCTGGAACAGCGGACTAGGTGAAGGGGAGAAGGCAGGTCCCGAGGATACTCTGCGACCGGAGGCGCCAGCACTTGCTGACAGCGGGGATCCAGATCTACTCGCTGGGCTCGCGCCACGGGATGTAGAAAGACGATATTTAGGCGGAGTAACATAGCTTGTACCGGGAGTCAATGGCGGTGTAGCAGTGGGGTCCAGCCCGAGAAGCGAGCGTTGGGTGGGGGTCAGAGGGATGTCGGAAAGGTCGTCCTTCGGTCCAAATAGAGGAAACAGCGCAACGAGGATGTTGAGAACAAAGATCACGCGCAACACGAGGAGGGAAAGGTCAGGATAGGTAGAGAATTGGGTGATATGTTGAAGCCAAAGACAACTGTAAAGATTTTATTTAGAAGTGTCCCCGAGCCCCTGCATGTTATCACCACGTCACGACTGCACAACTTACTATGACTTGATAATATCCCCAAACACACAGGTAGCGAACAAAGCGGCGCCATTCCACACTAGCTTGTTGATGTTGCGATCTCCAAATGTCCCAGCATTCTGTCGACGAACCACCTCATCCAAGTGAGGGTGACGCCATTTCCCGGGCGTCTGGCTTTGGTCGGGGACTGGTACGACTGTAGATGCAGCTGTTGCAGCTTTGGGGGTAGAGGGAGGGGCCGAGGAAGCCATTGGGAGATACCACGATGAGATGAAGTGGTGGAGTATGAATGAAACTGTCCAGAATGAGCACAACCGCATACACTAGGATGGGAGTGAGGGGAGATTGACTTACCAAAAGGAATAGGGAAATTGGTCGTTGGGACTTACCTGGATGTCAATTGCGCACGGGGGAGGGGGCTGTATCACATGGATGGTTGTTATAATCTCCGATTGAAAGCCTACGACGAAAGTCCAGACAGGACCATAGTCGCAAGGGAGTACGGAGTAGCAGAAGAGCCCCCTGGGGGATGAAAGAGGAAGAGGGGAGGAGAGGGGAGGGGAGGGGAGGGAGGTGGAGTTGGAGATGCAGGGCGATTGATTGTTTTGGGTGATCGGTGCACCGGCCTTCACCAGGTCAGGAATCACAATGGGCAACCACAAGCGCCATTGCCGCGGCGGCGAAGTTTTCTATCGAACTTACTTTACCGCCCGCCCGCCCACACGCGCCCGCTGCCGTTCCCCACATCTGGCATCATAGCCTACCAGTGGTCCAGTAATGAGGTAGCCTTAGTACGTAAGGAACGCAGTCAGCTGTCAGCTCTCAGCTCACCATCAACCACACTCTTCCAATCTTACCAATTCGCATCTCACCTCAACCTTTAATTATACATTTAAATCTTGTGCCTGGCATATGTACACCCAAATCTGAGAGATTTTCAACCTCAGAAATGGACTCCGAGTCGTCCATCGTCGCCAAACTAGACGCCGTTGTGGCGGAGCTACTGGCCGACTGGAACATAGCCTCGACTGTGATTGCTGGTGGTATTGTTGCCTTTCTCATCTATTCATTCGTCACATCGCAAGACTCAGATATACATCCCTTTCTCCTCGCCCGGCAATCGAGCGCATTCCCCGTCCGGCACCCAGGCCAATCTGCTCCGTATAGAAGTCTCGAGACTCCGCATGGCTTTCCTCTGCGCACGGGACTGAACGTCAAGGACCCCGGGGCTCCCAAATGGACCAGTGGTCGGAAAGGTGACTTACGGGATGTCTGGAAGACTGCTGTCCGCGGATCGGTGGAGGATAACGGAGCTGTGACCGGCAAGCAGGGCAAGATCTATACTGTGCTTGGAAAGAAGGCGATTGAACACTCCTTGGATCAGGTCACTCAGGAAATCAACGTCATCGGAACCCGCCTACGAGATTCCAAGGTAAAGACTGTGGCGGTCTGTTTGACGGATTCGGTTGAACTCCTGGCTGCTATCTTCGGTTTGGCCTCCACTTCCCCGATCCTGCCGTCGATTTATCGCTAACAACGCTGTAGCTGGAGCTTTCTATGACTTCAAAATTGTTATTATTCCCCACAATCTGAAGGCGGAGAGTTTGTCGGAGCTACTGCAGAAGTCGCAAGCGGATGCGTTGATTGCTGAAGCTGGGTCTCTCGACTTGTCATTCGTTGCCAAGGATAACAAACAGCTGTCGCAAGTGATTTGGGTCGCCAAGCTCGGAAGCCGACACATGGACTGGAATGATGTGCCCCAGGACGTGAAGGGGACGTTGGAAGTCACCGTTTGGCACGAGCTGGTGGAAGAGAAGAAAGAGCTGGCCTGGCTTGAAGTACCCGACTATGATCCGAGCACCCCGACTCCTTCTGTGACCACTGTTTGGCCGTCCAAGTCCTCTCAAGGCGACTTCATTGAGTACCAGCCGGAGGTAAGATCCTCTCACATCTGTCATTTGACGCTGTCTGGTAGCTAACTACAAGGGATAGAACTTGGCCTCAGGAATCGCCGGCTTGTTGTACTCTCTCCCCCGTCAACAGCGTTTCGGCCCTAACGACGTGGTTCTCTCAATCGATTCCTTTTCTCGATCGTACCCCCTGTGCCAGATCATGGCTGCGCTGTTCGCCAATGCTTCTGTCGCCGTCAACTCCGTAGCCGGCGAAAGCGTGGACTTTGCTCTTGCGACTGTAGGAGTTTCTCCGACGGTTATTGTTGCATCGTCTCGCACCATGTCTGATTACCACACCAAATTCATGAAGCCTCACTCCGGGCCCGTATCTTCCCTCGCGCGTTGGATCCAGGTGCGAAGCTTGGATGCTGGATACATGCCGTCCCACGGCTTACTGAGTCAGCTTGCCAACGTTGGGCCCATGGCTGAGCTCTCTCTTGACAGACTGCGTCTTCTGTGCATCTCGCACCGGTTTGACGCCGATCCCGAGGTTCGCCTGGACTTCGAGCAGTTGACGGACCTACGTCTCTTCACGGGTGCGCGTATTGTGTATGCTCTGACTGGACCTGGAATTGCCGGTGCCGTGTCGCAGACCAACGTCTTCGACTACAGACGCTTCGAGGGCGCCAGCCACTTCGGTGCGCCTCTTAGCAGCGTCGAGGTCGTTTTGACAGGGCTGTCGGAGGGTTCTGAGAAGGAAGAGGGCCAGGTAAGCGCAGACAAACTCCGTACCCTTCTTATCGACGCGTGTAGCTTACGCACTCCCCAGATTTCTGTAGCCGGCCCTTCGGTCGTCTCCGGTAAGACAGTGCTACCCGTGCAAGCTCGCTTGCGCGACGACAACACCTTGGAGCTCTGCGCCTGAATTACCTGCCAAGCGGAGGATGAGCGTTCTTGCGTTATGAACTGAGGGCTTTTGACTATATGCATTGCATCGCCCCACCTTTCCCTGTGCATTATGTCTTCCATGCTGCACAGGCGACACAGAATGACTTTTGCACCAGCATCGTGATGAACGCCTCTGGATTTTATGAGTATAGTCTAGGCTCCGTATGTTGATGAATTGAAGAAAGGGATATGCATCTATTTTTGAATACACAATATAGCTCCGAGCGATTCTGAGAAAAGATCATGGTAATGTACAAAAAAAAGGCATAGACAAGCCTGGCGGCAAATTAGACAAAAACGATCTTGGCTTTAGATCAATTAACCAAGGCTGCGACCTGCCGAGAGCCCCGTCCGGGCTTTTGCCGGGCCAACGTTGGGGCGGCATTCTTCTGGATCTTGATCCACTGCCGCAGGGCCTGCTCGTGTTTTTGGAAAGCCTTCAAAGTTGTGGCGCTGAGGGGCAACTTCTGGGCCAGCCGGAGGGCGTGGAAGATGGGGACATTTTGCTCCAGGCGCAGTTCGGTCTCCTGGTAGTTTCGGTACTCTTTCTTCTGGATCTTCTCGGCCGCCGCGAGGGGGTTCTCGGACGAAGACGCGTTCTCCGCGACGTTCGTGGCCACGGGCACCTTGATCTGGGGCGGGTTCATGTCCAGGTGGAAGCTGTGCTCCAAGCTGGCGAGCAGACGGTCGCTGTAAGCGCGGACGAGGCCGTCGGCGTCCTTGCCGGCGAAGCGGTCGAGGGCGCGGGCGGCGCTGAGCTCGAGCAGGACGGCGATGACGGCGGGGCGGCGGCGGGCGTCCTGGCTCAGGAGGCGGTTGGCGTGGCGGGGCAGCGACATGACGTCCACGAACTCCTCGGCGAGCGAGAGCAGGCGGTCGAGCTCGGGGCCCTTGAAGCCCTCGGCCTGGGCGCGCAGGTGCAGCTCGAAGAAGATCTTCTCCGCCAGCCGCGGCTCCCGCAGTGAGAACCCGGTGCTCTTCGCCTTGGCCGCCTCCAGGATGGCGAGCATCGCGTTGTTGCGGCCCGCGCGCCGCACCACCATCTCCATGTTCAGCTTGCGGTTCACCTGGTGCAGCGCCGTCAGGAACGCCGGCAGCACCTTCCAGTCCTCCGCCGACCGCATCCGGCGGATCACCGCGTTGGCCTCCGCGTTGCGCGGCTGCGCCGTGAACTCCATCGGCCGCAGCTGGTACTCCTCCTTCTCGCTGATCGCCACCGTCACCGGGTGCTCGTCCAGGGTGCCCTGGTGCTTCTTCCGGTAGATCAGGAGCTTCTGCTGCTCCGTCAGGTTGAGCGGGATGAACACCTCATCGCGGAATTTATTGAGGCCCGGTTTCAGCTTCTGGGGCGCGCGCTTGAAGGTGGGCACTGGTCCGAGGAGGGTGAAGTTAGCTTGGGGTTACTTTCGTAGGGTACGGTTTCTCTTGTGTCATCCGGGGGAGATTGGGCAAAGGATCAGTTGCAATACCTTTAGTGAGGTACGTGCGCTTCTGTGAAAAAGATCCAACGGCTTGACCGAGGGTACTTGCGTTCTGGCAGCGCAATAGCCTGCTGCCCATGGCGAGCTGCGCCATTTCGATATGTGGTGGTGGTGGGATTGAGGTGAGGGAGACGTTTCCGTGAGGAGGAAGATAATTCGTAATTTCCAACAAACTGGAATTGACTCGGAACAACGAGATAAAGAGGCGCACACGTTCCCCAAAGCCGCTAAGAACAAACTCCGAATTGAGGATTTTCAAGATAAAATGGAAATGCAAATGCACTCACTCCCTTCCCGATTAATCGTGAAAGTAGCAGCGGCGGCGGCGGCGACGGCAGAAAATCTCCCGCATTGAACAAATGGGCGGACGACCCAAACAGGCAAAGGGCGGAAATTCTGCCGGTCCGAATTCCTCTCTCCGATTCAGCATCAAGTTGTGTTCCGTCGACTCTACCAATTCGATCTCTTCCCCCGAATTCCCAGCAAAGAACGGCTGCAAAGTTCGCACATCTCGCCATGGCGAACTCCTCCTCGATCCTGCAGCAGCTGGGCTGCTTCCGGTCGCTTCTCACCAAGCCCCGGGTAACGCCCGTCAACACCACCGGCCGCCGCATGCTCACGACCGCTTGGTCCGCCAAACCAGCCCTGATCCCCTTCCCCAAGGAATTGCCCGAACAATTCCACGATCAAATACCGAAGCGCTTCCGACCTAATCTCGGTACAGTCTCTGCCTACACCTACCTGTCCACCAAACCGCCCCCCGCTGGTTAGCTGGCTAGCTAGCGGGGAAGGAAACACGCATCCCAAAAAAACCCCCCAATGCTAACAACAACCCACCAAAAAGCCCCTAAGAAAATGAAGATCTACCCGCCCCCGGCGCAGCCCAAGTGCAAGGATCCGATCGACTTCATCGCGCAGACGCAACTGCAGAAGCTGGACCCGTCGGGCAAGCGGCGCGAGCTGTTCGACTACCGGCGGCACGCGCGCAGCGTCAAGCCCGGCGACATCATCCGCGTGACCTTCAAGAACGGCGACCCGTTCGCCGGCGTGGTGCTGAGCATCAAGCTGCGCGGCGCCGACACCTCGGTGCTGATGCGCAACCAGTTGACGCGCGTCGGCGTCGAGATGTCGGTCAAGGTGTTTTCGCCGAACGTTGAGAGCGTGGAGATCGTGCAGCGCACGCAGAAGCGGAAGCGTAGAGCGCGGTTGTATTACCTCAGGTGCGTTATTTGTTCCTTCTTTTTCTTGGGGGAAGGTTTGTGGTGTGGGAATGCTAATTTCGATCTTCTTTTCGCGGCACAACAGACAGCCTAGACATGATATGGGCAGTGTGGAGAATCTGGTCGCCAACTACCTTAGACAGAAGAGAGCGCTTACTGGTGCGAAGATGGGTGACAACCGGAAGCGGTGATTGTTGCGGTTCCAACTGCTGTTGGGGTGGGCTTGATGACTCGGACGCTCTCGAGGTTGCGACAACGGGCATGATTTGGGGCGAATGTATTTTTATGTTAACTAGCATGTGTATATTGGATCTTAGGTCCGGGTGTTTTTCTTGTTTGCATTTCTGTTTCGGATACAGTTCAAATCGAAAGATCTGGGATTTTCTCTTGGTTTTTTTTTTTTTTTTTTCTCTTCAGGTTTAGGCAGCATGAGAGGTGTCCTGGTCTAGGATGGGAGACTTTGCAGATGCTGTTTTCACTGCATACGTTTCGGATACGGTCGTCTGCATTGAGCATATAGCAATGAGCATATCTAAGGCACAACGCAGGGCTTGCGAAGCACACTACACCACCTTCCAACCCAAGCACCGTCTCCACGTCATCTAGTATATGTACCGAAAGCTGAATCCATATCAGCAGAGGACAATCATCAAAGGAAGAGCATCCAAGAAAAGAAAGGAACAAGGGCAGGTCTTTCTAAGAAATGCAGGAAAACACGAAGCGGCAGGACGTACTTCAAATTCTCCCGATCCGTCAAGTCTATGAAAGCCGTCGAGTCGAGATCTCTACCTTCCAAGCCTCCCTCGGTCTGAGACTGGATCCGATCGCGGCGCTGGTTCTCCCAGCGAAGCAGGAAACCCAGCGTGGTGATGAGGACAACCTCGAGCAGATGGCAGACGATCATGGACCAGATTCCGAGCTCGTAGGTTGGGCTATATCGACGTGTGTTCAAGGTGAGTTTGGGTTGGTCTTGTGTGTGGTGTGCAGAGCGAACTTACGCTTGGTTTGTCTTGTAGAAGAACGGACCTGCGATGTTGCCGGTGCAGTAGCCCAGGAACAGCACGGCGTTGGTGACGACTTTCTTTGTGTGGCCTGTTCGGGTTCATCAGCCATGAGCCTATGTTTCGGGAGTCTGAAGATTAGAAGTTGCAAGCAGGGTACGCACCCGCTGTGTTCGCGATTTGCATGCTGAGGACCAAGACGAATGCTGCATTGTATGGTCCCGTCAAATAGTAACAGATCAAGCGACCGACTTTCTGATCTTGGGGCACAAAACGAAGACCAAATGCCCCGGCTATGTTGGGCAACAGGAAGATAACAATGAAGAGGCAGCGCCTGTTCTCGAACCGGTCATTGAGATAGACACATGTCAAGATCGATAGGGCAATCAAGACTCCGTAGGGGATCTAAATAATGAGCAACATGATCTCTCATTCAAAAGAAGGGGAGTATGTATACCTGCATGAGGGTCGTGACGAGAGTAGAGAACCCAAAGCCTTTGATGATGAGAGTTCCAAAATTGGAGATTCCACCATTTGGTATATTGCCTGCACAGATGGCACTGGTCAGCCAGGGTTGAGACGGTCGAGGGATGGAGACCTTACAGACTAAGCCCAAGGCGAAGAAGAAGTATAATTTGTAGTCTAGGAAGGCTTCTCGAATTTGGTGCAGTTTGATGTGCTTGTTCTCAACACCAGTCTGGTTTTCTCGGAGGCGCTCGACTGCAATGCGACGCTCTCGTTTGCTAAGCAGAGGCGCTGTCACGGGCGAGTCAGGAAGCAAGAAGAACATCACTAAACCCCACGTTGAGCAGAGACAGCCACTGGGGTGCACGTGTCCAGTCAGCATATGCAAAATGGTACTTAGCAATGATCAACCCTCTCTTACATGACAATGAACTCGTACTTCCACGAAGGAAGCGCTCCTCTGATATGCCCTATCCCGTAGCCCAATAGACCACCCAGGGCAATTCCAAGACCGTTGGCCGTATACCATAACCCGATTCGTACCGGCTGCTCGCGTCTCGTGTACCACATGCTCGTTATAAGCATAAAAGCTGGGTCGGCACAAGCTTCAGCTGCGCCCCCCAAGGCTCGCAAGACAGCAAGAGTGGCGAAATTGTGACAAGCTGCCTGGATGATGAGAAAGATTCCCCTGGATCGAGAACATTAGCTGTGAGCTACATCAGCGAACGAACGTTGTGGAGGTTGCCTTACCACATGAAAATGTTTGCACCAAGATATTTGCCTACGCAACATTATCAGCTATTTATTCCAATTGAAGACATGTAGCCTTACCTATAGGCAAGCGTTGCATAAGAAAATTGGTCGGCTAGCCCGACATTAGCATGAGCCATCAATGTTCCAAGGAGGTCCGGACTCACAAAGGCCCATGCAAGGAATCCGAAGTAGAATACACTCGACAGCCAGCTGTACTGGGTGCCATGGAGATTCAGGTCCTCCTGAATACCAAAGATGGCCGCATAACTGAGTGTGGTCTGAATGCAGCATCGATGAGCAATAGGCAACCTCCGATGAAGCATAAATGGGCCGTGCGCACCTTATCAATATAGAAGAATGCATAGCAAACGGCCAGGTAAGGAAGAATCATCAAGTCGATCTTCCAAAGCAACTTCCTTGCCTCTACGGGGTCAATCTCTTCATGAAGGGCATCCGGGTCGTTGAAGAGAGCCATGGCAGTGTCCCCATCCGGCGGCGTCCTCGGCTTCCACCCCGGCTGGAAATGATTCTCATCATGTGTATCTGAAGGTAGATCGGCGATGTTCTCTGCATGGACGGAACTGGGTTCAGTCTGGGCTTTACTGCCCATATTTGAATTGGGTGTTTGTGGTTGTTCCGTAGGCTGAAGAGAGCTTCAAGAGTAATAGCCGAGGTGTGACGAAGGAAGAGGAAGAGATGTCTGGGTCCCTATAAAAGGCCTGGTGGATGAGTCTCATACCATGCCTAGAGCTATAGTGAGCTCTATCTCCCGTCTCACAAACTTTGCTCGGAACCTGATACCTTGGTGATTGGATGATCGTTCATCGAACGTGGGGGTAGTAGTCCTGTCAGTTGTGCGGAGATATGCGTTCTTCAGCTTATCATCCAATCCGCACAGAGATAGTGCATCATCCATGAGCATTAACTTTTGCACCTCGGTCATTCTCCGTCTGGAGACTCAGTAGGTAGCCATCCGCAGCATGGCTTTGATACGTGGGAAATAGATCTCGGAGTAAAGCCGAGCATGGCATGATGATGTGTAGGAGCTGGCAGACTTGAGAATGGCAGCTGATTTCAGGAGAAGAAAAACAATGCTGTGTGCTGGGATCCTCGAGACGATGGATGAAGTAGCAACTGAATGCGGGGAAGTGGAGAAGAACGACCCCGCGTGGGGGTGGGCAAATCTGGGGTAATTCCAGTCCGGCTGGTGGTTGTTCATCTCGCCTCCTCTCTCGGTATAAGTAAGCTACCTTGGAAGCATGATAGCAGTCGTCAAGACTGCTCCAAGCAGTTGGTTCTTTATCTTTAGATTCTCCTGTGCTGCATTCTGACTTGCTGTGGACAACCAACATACAAAGTCCAGCTTCATTACTTCCCAGAAGATATTCTTTTACCAGTGTGGAAGCTGCCACGCCCAAAGCTCAAGACTCAGGTTGAGGTATCATGAGAGGTACTCGAGAGAATGGCTTTAGACTGACTGGCCAGACGAGGCTATGGCTCACAACCTGGGATTCACTCTTTCTCTGGACAATCCTTGCACGCCTTCCCGAGATGACAAGATAGAACATACGAGGAGAGTGACAAGGCCACGGTATTGCTGTATTGAATATGCTAATATCATTCTACACCATGGGAGAATTGCACTGGTCAGAAAGAAGGCTGGAATCGTAAAAGAGTTCTTCCAGGGGATGGAGACGGAAGTAACCACACAAGCAACATCCGATCGATCCACTGTCAAATGAACTTGATCTTGCGGCCTTTGAGTCTGATAACTGCGTCTTACAGTCCAGTATAGGAGCAAGTCTAGTAAGACGCAGACGACCCTCCCTCGCCACCACACATGGCAAGCTAAACCCAGTCCATATGGGCGTGCAGATCCAGGGAGGGTCCCCCTGCCTGTATAGAGCCACAATTCTCGGGATATGAGTTGAAGAGTCAAACTCTAAATAGACTATCCAAGCCTAAGTCTAGGCAGATCCGCCACAGGTAGAGCCCGAAGTTGGCTCCGTGGCTTGAGAACCTATCTATGAGTATACAAGCTAAGAAAATGGCACTGATCGCCAAGTGCGGGCTATCTTGAGCTCCCTCGAGGACTAGCACGGTATTGGCTACCTGCAGTGATTAGCTTTTTTGGATCACTAGGTGTTGATCGGGCCACGATGCACAGTATGGGGTGATCCATGTGTTTCCGTCTGCAGTTCGATATGCCACATTGATGCATGTCCCTCGTGGGAGGCGCTTGAAATGACTCATTAGTACTTGCGTATTTGACCCAGGTTGCTCGTTGACTAGATACTCTGGTCAAGGCTCAGTTCCTCAGAAAGCAGGGTCACGAGTGATACATTCCCAATTTTCGCGCTCAGTCGACGCTGACCGGAGCATCGGTCCGCGGAGTCTGCAGTACGGATGGAGCAGCCGCCAATGGGGATGACCTTGAGCGGTGCTAGGTTGATGCGAGCCCATTATACCACAATATAGATGACCATAGCAGCGTGTGGATCATGTTAGGCTTGCCTACCATGATGTCCGAGAGTCAGATAATGAGGCACAACTCGATCTGCTCAACAAAGAGGGGTATGAATTGCCGTGCTCCGGAATGAATCAATTACAAGACTTCGTGGAGCTAGACGACAACACTGGACAGAAGTATAAACTGTCATACTAGCTCGGGTTCAATTGAGGTGTCATGGCAGCTTCCTGACGACTCAGGATCGTGGTACGCGCAATTCTTTCCTGAAACACGGCGTTGAAACACGGTTGGGACATCTCAGAATTGAGGCGCAGTACTTTTTGACGACACTGCGGATAATGATAGGAAGGTTCGTCCCGGTCAATAGAACGAATTGAGTCCTTCCCAGTCCCTGCCATCTCTCAATCCTGTACGGAGTATCGATGGTGCAGATTGTAAGGGGTGGGCGATAAATACAATCGGGGTAGGTAACTAACCTTACTCCCCCACCGTTTGAGAGAGGACGACGGCCAAGTCCGCCCGCCCCCAGCGTAAGCGCCCCTAAGAGAATTGCCTACTGCACACCGTCAGCCTAAGCCCCTTCTCCCCCTCCCGCCTAGCGGCATCATGCATTCCGGAGCTCTGCCGTCCGCTCGCTCGCTCCCTCCCTCCAATACCCGAGGGTCAAACAACGGTTGACTCGATCACTGGTCACACACCGACTTTCGTCCATCTGCAAGACTAGAACGACTACTACTGTACCCCGGCTGCAGGCTTGCATTTGGTGTGCGGGTGGAGTAACCTACAATTGGCCCAAGGCGCCGTCATGGGCCTGCAGATCGAAAGAATAGGTGATGGGTGGTGGTGGTGATGGTGGTGGTGGGATTCTCACATGCTCCAGCAAACCACCTGCGACGGCTCCTCCCCGGAGTCACGATACACTGAGGGGGCATAGAGTTCAGGGACTCCGGACTGTCTGAGAGTCTTCAGTAAAGAATTGATCCCGATCCTTCGCCGTGCTTGATCGCGGCTAGTCCAGTGCGATTTATTTTCGAGGTAGGGATCCGTCTCGCCTTGTTCCGGCCCATTGGCTGAGTATCGGAGTATTGCTGCATTAGTGCCACCACTAGCCAGGCATGGTCGTTTTGATATGGACATCCGAGCAACATGGTGCTTGTGTCTCTGAGCCTTCGCTTCGCACAACTTACCTTCCGAGATTCATTTATAGACCATCGGGGACAAGTAGTATCCTACATTTTCATGAAGTGCTTGCGCCAGTGACTCCGGCAATAGTCTGCTTGGGAATTGAAGGACTAGCGCCATTAGATTGGGGCATGAATGGAGGCCATGGGGAGACGGTAGTTAAGGCTGGTGTGCTTGACAGCCGAAGAACCATAAAGGGCTTTGCAACCCACCCCTGTTATGCCGCCACGATTCATATCCATCTGAGCCATGTAAATAGACTACAGGGTGATTATCGTTGCTTTATGAGAGATTGAAATCCTTGCACCGAAGACGAGAGTTTATGCAATGTCTCACTCGATGTTGATTCGAAAACAGAACACCCTCGAATGCAAACGGCCCATGAACTACTAGGTAGTTATAAGTGCCTATAGTACTCAGTGCATACCCGATCGAGGATCAGACGAGATTGACAACCCATTATTGCGGAGCACAAATACACTGGCAGCCAACGACCGCATTATTCCCAACCGAGAATCACAGCTACAGCAGTCCTAATGGCAGTTGAATTCGATTGACTAGGTTCTATCGCAGTCTTCCAGAAGACCGAGGTGTTCAACCATGGAACCGTTGGTTGACCCAGAAATGTCCTCAAGGTAACAACAGGACGGGCACTGGACATGTCGTCATGTTCAAAGGGTTGCAGAGAGCCATGAAAACAGAATCCGCCACGCAGATCCGAAGATCTCTGACGTGGGGGATTCCGGCGATTGGACGAGTTGCCATTTCCTGCGTTCTTTAAAGCTGGGGTCTTTTTTTGGGGGGTGAGTGGGAGAGGGGGGGGGGGGGGGGGGGGGGGAAGAGGACGAAAGATTCTTTTCTCCCCGCATTATGCGCGGTTGAATAGGGAAATGAACTCATATGAGAGGAACGTGCTGGGAACTATTGAGTAGGCTAGGTATCTCAACGGGGAGGCTAGAAACAACTACGTGGTCTTTAGTGGGAGTGAGAGAGTGGAAGAGGTGTAGCCGTTCGCGATGGATGGTTCCCATGGTGGTGGAATAATGATGAACGCACTGAATCATTATTGAAAAAGAGAGGGGGGGGAAAGGAGGGAGGGAAGAGAAACTAGAAGTGAGACCAACCCAATACGTAGCCCAGCCGGAAAACCCCAGTTATCGTCACCAGTCAGCCAGCCCTGGGCAAAGTCCCCTGCCCGGGAAGCCGTAGCCAGTTATGGAGTAACTACGGAGTAGGTAAGGTGAAGTGACGTAATGACCAAAATAGGTGTAACTCCCACTTCCCCCGAGCCACTGACTGTGAGCCGCAGCGGCGAGTTCACACGTTCTCTGCCCGTCCCTCTGTTTGTCTGCCCAGTGCGTGGTGCGACCTGCTCAGCCTAGAGGGCTTGCTTGCTTGCAGTGCCTTTTCTCTCTCTCTCTCTCTCTCTCTTTCTGACTAAGGCTACAAGCCCATTTGGCTAGTCAACTAACTGTTAATGAACTAGCTACTGCGGGAGAACACCACATTTAAATCGTCTTAATCACAGAAAAAAAAATAAAATAATAAAGAAAAGCATCTGATGGAACATGCAGCAACCACCCACAAAAAAAAAGGCTGCTGGTTAGGTACTGTACAGTAGAACATATAACTTACTGTAGAAAGGCTGCTTCTCCAAAATAGCATCCGGTCCTTTCCCCTCCGTCCCCAGGTCATTACATGCACCTTTAAGGGAGGGGAGGGGGGCCGCATTTCGTAGTTAGGGAGTTAAACACCCACAATCGACCCACTGCTGGCCACTTCTGGATAAGACGAAAAGTGGGTAGACTTACCAGTAGTGCCAGTGGCCATCCTCAGAAGTGGGACGCCCGCCTTTATAATGTCGACTGACCCTCCTCCATTCCGCTGGGAAAACGTCAACGCTTCGCTTGAAATACATAAGCAAGGAACCGAACTGGGAATCTCTTCCAGGTTCCTTTTTTCTTCCTCATAAACCTGTCTTCCCTCCGTCTCCTAATCAGCCGTACAACCATCCCTATACTATCTCGGACACTACTACTACTACCATTATCACCAGTACCACATCTCCCCCGTCGACCTCCAAATTTCCCTAGATTAATCGCCACTCGCCTTATTCACCATGTCTCGAACTAAGGTCCTGCTCGTCGGAGCAGCTGGTGAAACTGGTGGTTCCATTGCGAATGGATTGCTCGAACAGCCTAACTTCGTATGCTGTCCACGTTCATCACCTGCCTTATGCTCCCGACCCTGGTTCTAATTGCGTGCCTCTCGCCCTTACAGGAAGTCCATGCTCTTGTTCGCCCTCGCTCGGCCCAGAAGCCTGCCATCGTTGCCCTGCAAGAACGGGGTGTTCAGATTCGCAAGGGTGATCTCAAGGGTCCCGAGGAGTCGCTCGCCGACGTCCTCACCGGAATCGATGTCGTCATCAGTTGTGTCGGCCCTTCAGAACAACAGGATCAGATCCCTCTCGCCAAAGCTGCGAAGAATGCCGGTGTACAGCGATTTGTTCCCTGCGGTTTCATCACAGTAGCCCCGCCTGGCGGTATCATGTGGCTGAGAGACGAGGTATGCTGGCTGGCTCATCCGAATCTTACCTTCTCGATTAACCTTCCACACAGAAAGAGACGGTCTACAACCACATCAAGCAGCTCCGACTACCCTACACTATCATCGATGTCGGCTGGTGGTACCAGTTCTCTTACCCCCGCCTTGAGTCTGGTCGCATCGATTATGCCATGACTTCAGCTAACAACGAGATCGTCGCTGACGGAAACTCGCCCATTGCTTTGACGGATTTGCGGGATATCGGTCGCTATGTTGCCAAGATCATTACCGATGACCGGACATTGAACAAAATGGTGTTGGCGTACAACGAGGTCAAGACTCAGAACGAGATCTACGATCTTTTGGAGGAGATTAGTGAGGAGAAGATTCAAAGGAACTATGTAAGTGCTCTTTAGCACTACTCGTGCCACGACATCGACTGACGTCATAATCATCAGATTCCCGAAGAGACCATCTACACCCGAGTGCTCGCAGCCCGCCAATCTAGCGAAACCTATCCGTTCGATCCCATCAAGTTCATTCCCAGATATCTCGCCGAGTATCAACTATCCTGGGGTCTACGGGGCGACAACACGCCGGAATATGCCAAATACTTGGGTTATGTGACTTCCAAGGAACTGTACCCCGACTTCACCCCTACCGACTTCAGGGAGTACCTGGAAACCGTCGTAAGGGGTGCCGCCAAGGGTGTGTATACCGACCGCACCATTTCCAAGGCTCAGCAACGCTTCTTCCCTCGATCGGAATCTAGCGACTCTCTCTACACTCGGATCTTCCCTCGTACTGAATCGAGCGATTCTCTGTACATGTCTCGATGAACGACGACCTCGGTCCCTTGTTAGGAAGAAACACGAGTCGGCGCTAGATGCGCCTCCACCGTCGCGCTGCTCCGATTATGGTCGTGTGTACGGTGTCACTTGAAACAGTGAATACCACAGCACACAACGGCAGCCCTCCCTCCCTTGTTGTTTCTCTTTGCTTTTACCTTCTCATGGATCTTTTTTTGTTCCCGGGGGTTTCTAGACAGGCGTTCGTGTACCTATTGATGGCTTATGACTGTCTCGAGTGGATGAGTATGATTACGTCACCACCACGTTTATATACCAATGTACTTCGGGGGTTTTCTCCAATCACCCAGTGTCGGCGACAGGTCTCACGGTCACTGGAAAGATATCAAAATTTCAATTTTATCCATCATTCTTGCGTCGGGTACCACGTAACCAAATTGCCAATGGTGACAACATGGACGGCAAGTGCAAATCATCCCGTCTGAGTCAGGCAACTACACAATTTTCTTTTCCTTGTCAAGTCCAACTCAACGTTTTGAAATTCAAAGAATTTAGGCGCATCCCCAGGCACTCGAATTTTGATTTCTCCGGAGGCAACGCATCCGTTCTGTATGGGTAGCGATGGCTCCGGGAAAATGCGACAACGATCGAGATCATGATAGTGTCCCAACAACGATTGAAGGCGACATCCCTTCAATTCGTTCAATACAGCCTTCCTTCCACCCGCGCATGCGGCCCGTGATTCCTGTCTATGGAGCTTTAAGCCCGCGTCAAGTCAATTTACTCGGTGCGCGTTCGTCTGCCGAACTTAACCTCTATGCCTTACTTATCTTAGCAATAGCTATTGGAGGAGCGATCAATACTGGCCTCATGATTTGTGCAGGCCGTGCGCTTTCACAGTAAGAGCACCAACTCCATCAATTCCTCATTTCGATGCTGACCAGAGACCACAGCGCTGGGGTGAGTACCTTGAAGTTTTCGTGATCGATACACACTAACCACCAAAGCCTGCTTCTATACTTATTTCGTACACATTTGTTGGGTTCATTGTCTATCTGGTTCTGTGTGCTCTGGGTGAGGTCGCTTCTTGGTCCACAGAACCATCAATGGCCGAGAATGCGTCTCGATTCTGTGATCCGGCGCTTGGGTTCACATTAGGATGGATGTGAGTCAGCGTACCTCATAGAACCTCGCCACCTTATATGGCATGGTCTAATCCAGACAGTTATTGGCTGAAATTCATGGTTGTGATCCCCAACCAATTCGCAGCGGGAGAATTGCTGATAGCCTACTGGCAAGGTGATGAGAAAGGATATTCGATCTTTTGGATCACGTTCTTTCTCGCGACAATCATCGTTGCGAACTCGAAATGTAGCCAATATTTCGACAAATACGAGCTTTGCCTCTCCTGCATGAAGATCATTGTGATGTTCGGCCTAGTCTGTCTCTGTGTCGTCCTGGCTTTCGGTGGCGGCCCTGATCATGATAAGAAAGGCTTTCGTTACTGGAGCTATCCAGGTGCGTTTGCGCAGCACTCGAACAAAGAAGCAACGGGCATACTTCGCGCGGTCTTTCGAACAGTTCCTTCTGCTACATTGGCCTATCTCGGAAGTGAGCTCATGGGCATAACTATATTGCGCACGCATAATCCCAGGGAAGCTGCAGGGCAGGCCATCGAGTCCAACTGCTACCGCATCTTGGCCTTCAATATCGTCAATGTGGCTCTATTGGGGATACTGGTTCCCTCTGGTACCCACGTCTTGGCCTTAGGTCAATCCCCGGACAAGCCCCGGCCGGCATCAGCTTTTGTGACGATCGCACAGTATACTGGCTGGTCAAAGTTGCCACATATTTTGAACGCCTTTCTACTGGTCTGTGTTATTTCTGCCGCCAGCCAAGCCCTCTATTTGGCGACAAGAACACTATATGAGCTTTCTGTAGATCGACATGCTCCTTCTTTCCTCTGTCGAACCAATGATCGGGGAGTTCCAATATATGCCTTGGGTGTGTGCGCCCTCATAGGATGCACGGCATATCTGAATGCCTTTAGCCGCTCTCAGAAACTCTTCAACAGCCATGTCAACCTGGTTTCAATGTTTAGCATACTTACATGGGCCTCCATCCTGGTGGTTCATATCTCATTCGTGCGAGTTCGAAAAGTACAGATGATCGCCGACGAGGATCTGATCTTCCGGGCTCCATTTGGGGTGCTCGGCTCCTGGGTCGCCTTAGTGGCATGTATCTTTTTCTCCGTGATTCGAGTATTTGACCTTACAAGCCGTGATGCTTACCCACGGGGGTTTGACTATGTGGCTTTCATCACATCTTATGTGGGAATCCCACTATATGCTATACTTGCCGTGGGATACAAGCTTGCTTCCAGGAGCCACTCGGTGCAACCTGAGAGTGTTGACATGAGATCCCTCAAGGCTGAGCAAAGTTCGTTAAAAGCAGGTCGTACTCTTTCGACCCAGGGACGACCTGATCAAGTCTATCCAGACTCAGAATCAGCCCGCATGCGCCGAAGCATAATCTGGTGGGTGTTGTGACTGGGCGAAGGAATACTTGAGCTGGGGAGGGATTGCTCTGCGCTTGGTCGCATGGTTTGTGGGTCGGGTACAGTACGTGCTATGAAAGCTTGCTTACACGCTAGACATTTTATTTCCCGTCCAGATATCTGATTCAAACATAAATACTAAAGAAAGGGGAAAGGAAAAACAAAAAACTAATCAATGGATCTTCATTTCGTCCGAATCTTATGTTATAGTACTAACCTGGATCGTGGCATCAGACTGCTGCATGCTGGTGTCTGATTACGGCACTCGAGGGATGATCAAGGAGGTCGCGCAGCAGCATGAAAAAGCAAACATATCGAGATATGTGAGTTTTATGTGGATGTAGCTGCCCGCAGTGCATGGTAGGAACGACTTCAGTCGAGGTGACCGGCGTCAAGAGGTCGATTTGATTCGCTCGAGAGGGGCAGGTGGAGGGCAAGTGGAGGGGTTGAAGCTCGAAGCTGTCAGTCAATCTTTCTTTAGTTTCAATTCAACCACCACTTGACCCGATCTTCTTCTTTGGTTTGCATCTTCACCCACCACCCATTTCCCTCTCTTCTTTCTTGCTTTTACGTTGCTACCCTCGATTCTTCTCAAGACCCTAAATGCTCTAACGCCAGTTTTTTCTCAATGCTTGGATCTACCTCCGACTGATCAAAGGCGAGAGTCGAGGAAGGTGTCTGGCGCGGGTCGCCGACTCAATTGTTTACCATCCTCTGGATCAGTGGTTATCCGTCGTCTTGTGGAGAACCAAGTTTCCCAATTGGTGTACCCGCACAACTGACAGCTCCGAGGTCGATCGATACTGGACTGTGCAATCCCCGGGCTTTGACAAACATGGGCTTCCCTATCACTCCGAGCCGAAGCGGGCAAGAATTGATCCAGCTCATAGACGAGATCAACGAGAAATTCTCGCTGGAAATCCCCAATCCCCGCATCTACTCCCCTGGCGGTGACAACAAAACACCGGCATGGAGGTGCTATGGCGGTCTCAAGCGGCTCTACTTCAAAGGCCCTTTGTATCGAGTCCTCGAAGGTTTCCAAGAATGGGTTTCGTCTCGACCACTCCATCCATCCCGCTCGCATTCAGGTCATGAAAGGGAAGAGCGAATGGGATACCTGTTGCGATTGATCGACGATGAGCTCTACCTAATGACCAAAGGCTCCTTTCCGGCCAACCGTTTGATGGAGCAACTTTCGGCGGAGCCTGAAGATCTAACACCTAAGTCATTGAAGAGAAGACTTTCGGCCGATGAGGACGAGTTTCATACTGCGCCGAGCTCTCCGGTCAAAGAACCTGCAAGATCAGTTTCCCCATTGGAGACAAACGGTGGTTCCCATGTTGTCGGATACTCTAATCAAGGTAGCCATCGGCAGTCAACGACCGCGACTTTCCCTACAAACCTCTTCCAGAGCCCTCGCCGCCCTGACTCGGGAAAGCCTTCCAAGTTCGTAGAGAGACTGACCGCACCTGACAAGTACCGGCGATACGACGCTGTACCTGCTGCCCAGACCGGTCTGAACGTCAGCTTCGCAACAACTACTGCCTCATCCTCTGACTTTTTCGCTTCGCACAAGGTCTCATATAACACGTCCTTTCTCTCAACTACCACTGATGTCACCGAGCCCATGTCGGAGGAAGAGTCACTGTACGAAGACTCGGTGGTAGGGCATATGCTCAGTCAGGAGATGAGAACGACGTTTGAGCAGCAAAGCCGGGTGTCAGGTTCAACAACTCAGGAGTCTCAGTACACCGACGACGGACAGATCATGGCAGAACTCATTGAAACCGGACCTTTCAATTACGAGCAGACTTTCTCGAAGTCGACTCCACTTCGCTATCGATATGAGCTAGAAAGGATAGGCAGAGCGTGGAATGTACCTTTAAGCCGCATGCTCGTTGGTGACACCATCTCATTCAGAACTCTGGACGACTATTGGAAATGGATAGCGCGTCATAACCAGCGAGACGGCAAGCCACTTCCAGAGAAGCCAACTCGCAAGGCGTGGGAAGCCGCTACGGGTTATTTCAAAACAGATAAGCATTCCGAGGTGGTCGTCTTCACAGGGGACATGGAGTGGTGCTCTGGGTCCGAACGCGGTATTTTGAAGTTGAAATTGAATCCTCTGAAGACAGAACGAACCTGCCGCTTTCATCGGCGCTTTGGATCGGATCGCTTTCTCAGCCTGACGATGCCTGCCCCGGCGCGGCCGCCACCTCATCTCCGAATACCCAAAAATCCTACTCTCTTGCGAGAAAGCTTAGCTCTCTGGTTAACGCAACGGGTGCATCGGTGCCTCGGTAGGGAATGGAGGCCGTTCTTTGTGGAGGAAGTGAAGTCAAAGTCTAAGATTAAATCGGAACCGAAATTTCGAGTAGATTTCTTTGCTGTCGACGGCATTGATTTTGACCACAGGGTGAGAGTACCTTCGTCCCTACCTCTCCCAAACCAGGACAGTACGAACCGCACGCCGATGGATTTAGAAGAACTTATTGAATGGCACATGCCTTCAGAAGCCAATCTCGGCCAGTCGAACTGCAAGCTCTTCCAGAGGTTATCATTGGGTCTTTCCAAAACTTATGCAACGGTGGTGCTGCGAACATCGCAGATTCTGTCGCTGCCGGACCTCCCAGGCCGTCCGGTTATGAATGATGGGTGCGCCCTGATGTCAAGGAAGCTGGCCAGCCACATCTGCGACATGCTGGGGATTGCAGGAATAACCCCTAGTGCCTTTCAGGGTCGATTTGCGGGAGCCAAAGGGTTGTGGATGGTTGATCGACATCAATCACAGTTATCAGCTGAGTGTAATGACGACATGTGGATTCAGATTTCCGACTCGCAGCTAAAAATCCATCCGCATCCCCAAACCTGGCAAGAGCCTGTTGACAACGAGCAGTTGACCTTCGAGGTTGTGAAATGGTCCAAGCCGTTGCATCCGGTCGATTTGAATATTCAACTCTTGGCAATCCTCGAGCATGGCGGACACGTGAGGGAATATATCGGCGACCTCACCCGGCAAGGCATTCAAGCGGTGTATAAGGAGTTTGTACAGGTACTTCAGTCCGATAGTGCTATCCTTTGTCGCAGTCTTATCCAGAAAATCCGGCCTTCAGCGGATGACGGCTCCGGGCTGATGTCACACAAAGTCAAACGCCTGGAGCAGTGGACAGCGAACGATGCACAGTCGATAATACGGCTCACTGAAGCAGGGTTTGGACCTCGAAGCTTCTATCCGCTTCGCAAACGACTGGGGAAATGTCTCAGAGACCTGCTCACTCGATATGTGGATGAATTACATATAGAGGTCCCTCTTTCGACTTATGCCTTCTGCATTGCAGATCCCTATGGGATTCTCAAAGAAGACGAGGTACACTTTGGATTCTCCACCAATTGGCGCGATGGCGAAGGTCAATTTGAAGATACTCTACTAGATGGCGTGGAAGTTCTAGTTGGCCGACTTCCAGCCCACCTACCCTCTGACATTCAGCGCCGGAAGGCTGTGTGGAAGCCAGAACTTCGCCACTTCAAGGATGTCATTGTGTTTCCCAGTGTGGGTAATGTACCGCTAGCGCATATGCTATCAGGCGGCGACTACGATGGTGACACGCCCTGGATCTGCTGGGATCAGAACATTGTGCGCAATTTCTATAACTCGGACCTCCCAGATGTCGAATATTCTCCAGAGCACTTTGGTCTTACGAAACATTCCGTGCCCATGAGGGATATTCAATCTATGGACGAGTTTCTTCAAAGCGCGTTTACGTTCAATTTAACTCTATCGAATTTAGGGCGCTGCACTATAGAGCATGAAAAGATCGCCTATGACGAATCGATCAATTCGCGCAACGCCACGGAGCTTGCTTGTCTCCTGGGTCATCTGGTGGACGGCCGTAAGGGAGGTGTGCATCTGTCTGAGCTATCTTGGGTGCAATATCGGAAGAGGATCAGTCCTCGAGTTCGTGCTCTGCCAGCCTACAAAAATCCTGAACGGAGATACAAGAGGACCAATATTATTGACTTTCTTCGCTTCGAGGTGGCTCGCAAAGAGTGCGACAAGGTTCTGGCACAGTTGGAGAAGGCATTCCCCGAGGATGAAACTTTCAAGAACCGGGATGAAGACCTGTTGGGAGTATGGGCTCATGTTAAAGAGCAAGCCGCACAGGACATGGGACTAAAAACAGCACTGCAAGGTGTGGGCCAGAAGCTCAAGACATTGTATGGGCAGTGGAACGAGCACGTGCAGAGGAGCCAAGGGTCCTTTTCCGTCCGTGCTCTAGAAGCTGCTGACGAAGCCCAAGCCATTGAGCCTCCGTCAGGAGATCATCCTTTGATTCAAGTATGGGAGCACTGTCCGGGCGAATGGCTTCGGTTTCTAGCTTCCAGCACGTATCAGCGGTGGCCCCATTCCGGTTTCGTCATGCACGCCTTTGGTGAGGTGCTCTGTCAGATGAAGGCGAGCAATCTACCGGCGCGGACCGTGACGAATGAGATCCTTGCCGGTTATCGTGTCAACCAGAAGGTCATCGCGCAGCTTACGTCCCGGGACCCGATGGATGAAGGGGACACCGAGCCGGGCGAGGACGAGTACGAAGGGCACGAAGCCATCGAGGCGATGCACTTCGGGCTGCCGTCGACAGCAGCGGGCGGATACTACGATCCGGACGATGGAATGTCGGTGGAATGAGCGAGGTTTCAGCTTCGGATAGCATGGTTCATTGGCTGGAATTCAGTTCATGCATCTGTGGGGTACATTCTTGGTTATCGTGCTGCATGCATGTGCCTCCCTTGGTAGAAGTCCCGGATTCTTGGATAGAGTTCTCTAACTATCCTATCCTAAAGCACTGAAAAGAGAATGGGATAGGGTATTGGGCCAGATGGTTTGGATAGTAACAACGATCTACGAGACTTATTGTTTTGCCTTCGGCTGACCAGTTGGCCATGGGGTTTGGTTGGCTGAGTCGTAACTCACTCACTGACTAAACTCCAAGAATC